TGAGACTGAATATTTAATGCCACCATTTTGTTCCAATTATTTTCCTGTTAAATTGTTTATTTATTTACCAGTTCTGGGGGCAGCCATCTTGGTATCCAGTAACCATGGTGATTAAAACATTATTATTGTAATTCATTGTTAACATCTGGATATTAAGTTGTTCTTGAAGCCCGTGAAATATACCAGGACAGGGCTGCTGATGTATCTGTATTCACCAGTCACGTCTGATTGGAGGAGGTTCACATGCCTTCCCAAATTCTTATCTTTAGGACATTTTCTATGTAAGTGTGCCAGGTTTCTGTGTTATTCCTGCATTCTGGATGAGCTTTTAATTAACGTGTTAAAATGACCTGTTGGAAACTTCCAAAATCAACATCCCTGTGCTACAAGTAGCTCTGTAAAACGGCAATGTTATATCAGTGTGTTTTATATTGTATCAGTATGATTGTTATTATACAAGTTGTACTGACATAATATTATTTATACACATGTCAGTTATACAGACACATTACAACAGAGTTGAATATAACTATTGTTTTTACATCTGGTGTAACTATTCTATAACCCACCCCACCCAACCACCAAAATATCATACAGCACTAAGAACATTCACCCTACACACTAATATACACTTCCTACTATTCTATAACCCACCCCACCCAACTACCAAAATATAATACACATAGCACTGAATACATTCAGCCTACACACACCTTGTATCTAAAACCAATGATATTCTGAGAGATTATTGCATAAAGCCTCACCAATTGGTTTTTGATTTTTTGAGTGAACACAATTAATTGTTTGGTAGAGCTAATTTATCTGGGGCAAGATGGTTCTTGTAAACAACCAAGTGATCATATGATACATATGTTGCATTCTATTGGTTGACCTATCTCCTCTTGTGAGCCAGGCTTTAACATACATTGATTAATTGCATTGTGTCTGTATAGGGATTTTGAAGAAGCTGATTGTGCACTGACAACTAAAACAACATGCAGTTGTCACCAGTTACTTTCAGCTAAAAAATTTGATGAGGCAAAAATATAGAAGCATCAGATCATAAAGAAATACACTTTGTCATTGAATTAAGTATATCCTGGTTTAGAAAAAAAAAGGAATTCAATTGTTTAATAAAAACAAATTTTATATCATATACAGTAATCAAATATCAACTAATGTTTGTAAAGCAAGGGGAATATGTTTCAGATGACAGTTAATTGGATATTTCATTAATAAATATACCTATTCTTAAAAACATTTATGTGAAAATTAAATTTTGAAATGACAGATGTTACAACATACTTGACCCCCAGGGGATATTATAACAATGGATGACATTTATTTTACAAATAGTAGGATAATCTAACAAAGGATATAAAATCAGATGAAATTTGATTGAGTCATATTACATACTATACCAGCGGGAAGCTTGGAGTATCTTTTTACCTAGTCAGAAATATATTACTCCTGTCTGGCCTCTGATCCTCTGTTAGCTGATAGTTGTCTACTAAGCAGTGGTTGCACCAAAAAAGGGGTGGGGTGGGTTGAAGGTGGGGCAGTGCCCCTCCCAATGGTCCAAGAATAAAAAGATAAAGACCACAGACATCTGGAATGATGTAAATTGATGCTATCAACATCCCCTATACCGGTGCACATGAAAAATTTAGAAAACCTCTTTAGAATCTATTTAAGATCCTAGGACATCCTAGTGCAAATATCGTTTCGAAAATATGCCACTAATTTTCAAATTACAAGATACCAGTTGACAGATTTTCTATTGAATTTGAGACATCACCTCTCATTACAAACAATTCAACATACAATGTTTCAATGAATATAAATATGTATTGAGGTATTTTATTTTGAATGAACTTAGTAGTAATATTTCCACCAGTCATGTTTTATCTCTAATTAAACAGCTATCATAATTATCTTTCTGATATTTTAATATAAAAACATTATATCTTGACATTATAATGGTGTTTATATAACTCAGGGGTAGAGAAATGTTAAACTGATAATATTCAACCACCATACAACATACTTACCAGCTGATTCTTCTGGAGTAAACCCAGATGATTTTCTTTACTAGGTGCAGGCTTTATCAGTTTAATATTGACATATTCACATCAAAACTAGCTTCCAATACGTGTACAATATAGTCAGTAGCATATTTAGGACAGGGTCATTGGGCCATGGATTCACTCTCTCTCTGTAATAGATCTTTTTTTGAAGTGAAATCTAAGTCCTCTAAATGCTCAAAATAATCTCAGGCCATCTGAAATCAGTTGGGTCCTGGGGAGGGGGGAGGGCCCTGGCAGCTATTAGACCCCGTCTGGTTCCTTGATCCTTTGCCTCGCCTCTGAGAGACACCTGTCATTTTTGGCCCCCTGCTCAGGAGGCATTTTCTAGATTGGCCGCTAAATATAGTACAATATACAAGAGATTATACTAGAATAAATCTAATAACCTCTGATTTGCTTTCAAAAACTATCTGATTTCTTCTAAAAACTCAGATAATATTCTGTGTGATGTTTATACTTATCACTTCTATCGGAAGACTGACATGTTCACATCAAAACTAGCTTCTTCATTGTAGGCCTGCAAGGGTATGTCGTATTACCACAGATAATAAACTGAGTATCCAGGTGATGTTGAACTGAAAATCTAGGTAATATTCTTTAAGAACATGTTTTATCTCCATCTACAAAACTGACTTTCAAAAAGGACAATTATATTTTTATTTTGTCCACAATGTAAGATTATATCGGAATCACAGACTAGATGTTATTCTGAGTCATTTTAGGTTGTTTCAAATATAATCCTATTACAGGGAAGTCAAATTGTTTGTGAAACTGAGCTCTTTAGATGACTATACAGATAGCTGTAATTAATTGAGTTCTATCAGCTGGTAAAGTAAATATTAAGACGACTATACAGATAGCTGAAATTGAGCTCTGTCAGCTGGTAAAGTAAATATTAAGACGACTATACAGATAGTTGAAATTGAGCTCTGTCAGCTGGTAAAGTAAATATTAAGACGACTATACAGATAGCTGAAATTGAGCTCTATCAGCTGGTAAAGTAAATATTTAGATGCCTATACAGATAGCTGTAATTAATTGAGCTCTATCAGCTGGTAAAGTAAATATTAAGACGACTATACAGATAGCTGAAATTGAGCTGTATCAGCTGGTAAAGTAAATATTTAGATGACTATACAGATAGCTGAAATTGAGCTCTATCAGCTGGTAAAGTAAATATTTAGATGACTATACAGATAGCTGTAATTGAGCTCTATCAGCTGGTAAAGTAAATACTTAGACGACTATACAGATAGTTGAAATTGAGATCAATCAGCTGGTAAAGTAAATATTTAGATGACTATACAGATAGCTGAAATTGAGCTCTATCAGCTGGTAAAGTAAATATTTAGGTGACTATACAGATAGCTGTAAATGAGCTCTATCAGCTGATAAAGTAAATATTTAGATGACTATACAGATAGCTGTAATTGAGCTCTATCAACTGGGAAAGTAAATATTTAGATAACTATACAGATAGCTGAAATTGAGTTCTATCAGCTGGTAAAATAGGTAACTATATCACAGTACACCTATCAAGAATGTTGTAATAGTAAATGAAAGTGATATCTATGAGATGTTGGTATTAAATGAAATAAGAGAAAGGATGTAATTAACCTATTTATAACAGGTTTGATGTCTAATGTCCAGTTATTATAGATCATTATTCATATTACTGTAATAGCTAGCCATAGGTCAAACTCATAATACCTTGGTCAGTTTTATTAAAGGCTACCCTTAAAAAGTTGCTGTTGTTTATAAGTGGCAGTATTTGCCATTTTTCAGGGTATAATTTGAATTGAAATATTAATATCATAATCATAATAAAGAATTGATAAAAAATATTGGTAAAAAATTTCTGATGTTGGAATATTATTGTAAAAGTTGAAACCAAATGAATGTTATGTCGAGATTAAAGTAAAATGTGATTTTACACAGCCACGTCTGTAGCTAGAGGGGGGGACTAGCTAGAAGGGGACCAGACGGGGAATTTTGAACTGTTTTGTCTGTATATACTAATTTGGTACCTAAATGTTTGAGTTGTAAAAACTTTACTCAGCTTTATCTGTAGGCATCGAAATTGATTAATTTAAGGTCTGATGATAGTGTAGATATGTTTTTGTTGTTTGTATTGTTGTGTTGATATTACTTTGGTTAAACATCAAGTTGTTATTTCCACTCTAACCATTATCAATAAATGTTATTATGAAGATAAATAGACTGCATGTAATGAGACAGGAGGTCAAAGGTCAAACCATTACACTGGTCAGCCAGTGGTCAATAGAACACTAATAACATTATTTCATTCTATTGTCCACTCGCTGGTCATCTGAGGACATCCTGTCAATCACACCATGTGGTCAAGGTCTCTAGAGTTTATTCTATTATAAACTCTGTTTATATAAACTTTATTTCCTGTCTATTTAAGTCCAGTCAGATATGAAATTCTGGTCAGATCAGATGCAGACTGGAAGGGCTTGTTGTTTCACTGGACAATAAACTGAGGCCCCGTGTGCTACAGGCTGTGAACTTTAAAGATCCCTCAACAGTTGGAAATCGAACAAAAGCAGGCCTCTGGCCTCTGTCCTGGCGTAATTTCCCTCATTGCACACTGCATAGCATTACCTGTCTTCCTTAGCACACTTAGGTCCTGAAAAGTCCTCCATTCTTTTCAGATTCAGTTCAGTTTGTCTAGCAACTAGTTGTTGAAACTAATGTTGAAGATCCAGTAGCCTATCCTAAGATATATGTATGTAAATGTCTCCTGATAATTGAAAATAGAAAGGTGAAAACTAATGCCAGTATTTCGGAAAATATTTTCAACTTTAAAGACACAGAGATGCCAAATGAATGAGTATCTATCCTGTTGTGGGTTTTATGTTCTATTTTCTGCTCTTAGTCTACCTACTGAAGATGGGACAATGTCATGCTGTGGGCAATAAGGGAAATTTTCATTTTAAAAGTATGTCAACTCAAATCTATTAGTTTGTGATCAATTGTAATGACTTGTATAGCAAATATTGATAAGAACTAGTTCAAACTTCTTTAGATAATCAAAAAGAATTTGATTTCTCCAATCTCATTTTTTTTTCAAATCTGTTCGATGTTCTGAGAGAATTTTGCTCTTTCTTCTTTCCAGTAGATCAGAAATGTTCTGTGTTTGATGTTTTTAAAGAAAGAGATGATCTCTATGGGGATCTTTACTTATTAATCAAAATTGATGAAATCTTACTAATTAGACAAGTAACCGTAGGGGGTCTAATTAATGTTTTTTCACCTTATGATTTGTATTGATTGTCTATTTTCAGACAGAGGAGAGGTTGTTACCAGATTTTCAACAGCCATATATTTTACTAGCCGAGGGGTCACTGTCTGCCGTCAAACATCAAATACCACTGATAGAGTCTGTTTTTAATAAATATGGTGTTGATGTAAAGTTTCATGTTTCAGATGGTAAGACTTGTCGTTCGAAATTCAAAATCAGTAAAAGAAATTATTAAAATCTTACTTCAGACTCCAAATCGGTCAGTTATTTCTAGCTTCTGTTTGGATTTAAGGACCTCACAAGATTACCGATCACTGATCACAGAAACTCCAAGACAAGGTCATTACATCTCAATCATCAGTGGCAGGCCTGTAGCTAGCCCAGGGTCTCAGGGGGGAATGACAAATTTGTTTTAGGGGGCTCAACTTTGTGACTCAACAAGTTATTCAAGTCATAGTTCAATAGTTCTTAAGGCCTTTTCCCCTTGCCCCCCCATTAGCTACAGTCAGTGGATGTTTTATTGTTGGAGAGGGAAATCAACAATAATAATGATATTTGGACTATCAAATAAACATGAGTGTACCTGACACAATGGCATTTCTAGGTAACATTAGTTCAGGAGGTCATGCAGATGCTACAGCTAGCAGGACTTTCATGATGCACTGTTTGAATAAAAAGGGTAAAAATTCTCAATCCGGGAGTTATTGGGAGAAACTAATTGGTATTTTATATTGTACAGGTGTACACAATACAGCTCAGCATCGTAAACTACGAGAAGTAGGAGATCTTTATGACAGTATTGGTTGGTCCATATTACTCTGTTTAAACAACTCTAGTCCAACAGAACCCTGTTACGACATGGCTGATAGACTCTTCCTTAAACAACATCAACGGGTGAGTTACTCTTCCTTAAACAACATCAACGGGTAAGTTACTCTTCCTTAAACAACATCAACGGGTAAGTTACTCTTCCTTAAACAACATCAACGGGTAAGTTATTCTTCCTTAAACAACATCAACAGGTGAGTTACTCTTCCTTAAACAACATCAACGGGTAAGTTACTCTTCCTTAAACAACATCAATGGGTAAGTTACTCTTCCTTAAACAACATCAACGGGTAAGTTACTCTTCCTTAAACAACATCAACGGGTAAGTTACTCTTCCTTAAACAACATCAACGGTAAGTTACTCTTCCTTAAACAACATCAACGGGTAAGTTACTCTTCCTTAAACAACATCAACGGGTAAGTTACTCTTCCTTAAACAACATCAACGGGTGAGTTACCTTCTCCTACCAAATGAAATTGAGAATGAGTGGTATTTTTTTTAGATAATATCAGTCGGGATTCTGACAAGGGTGAATTGAAATTATCATTATTTATTTTAGGTGAATGTAATACCTGAATTACAGGAGAAAATACAAGATATACAGTCACTGTGTTTTACTACATCTACCTCTCAAACAGGTACTGACTTACTTACAAAGACTGTTAGAGGTTTTCTAAATTTTTTATTTTTATCAGGGACACTGATAGCATCGATATGCACCATTCCAATTTTCACAAGTTTGTGGGGTGTGTAGGTTCACTAAAGCTAAGAGTTTTGTGACGTAAATATCATAAAGGTCCTTAAATGTTATCATCAGCTTTTGCGATAGTGACGTCATTTAATTTATGTAAATTTATTTGTTTGTTTATTTATTTGTAAATTTGTTTATTTGTTTGTAAATTTGTTTATTTATTTGTAAATTTGTTTATTTGTAGGGAAATGGTTGAATAACAGTGGTCTAGATTGTGCTGTATTTCCTGATAAAGAGAATAAATTATCTATAAAATGTCAGAATCAATCAGTGTATATGATGGATAAGATGTCCAGTCAGTCTCGTCTCCTACCTTGTCAACATTTATACAATAACAGGTGAGTAAAGGTCATGTTTGTCTTGTAAAAGCCGCATAACAAGAGCCATATTCATTCTGTACATTTGTTATGGGTAGGAGCCGTATTAAGGGATGGACCATCAAACACAGTCCCTTGGCCCTAAGGAGGTCACCGGCCAAAGTACGGTACTCTAATTACAATTTATTTTTTCAAAAATAAGACCCCGTTTGCTCATTTACTCCCCTAAGAGCTAGGTATGACATTTTCAGAGCACCTGTATCTAGTTGGTTCATTATTTAAAAGCTTGTTTGATTGATTGATTGATTGATTGATTGATTTTGGTCAAAGTTTTGAAATCTTCCTTCTTCTTTCCAGAGCTGCAGACCCTGTGAAAACCTCCAGTGTAGGTATTCTACTACCAGAGAATTTATATCACCTGAATGATGAACCACTGGTAGCCATGTTTAATATTCTAGTCATGTCTTTCTCCCCGTTACGAGTCTATCTTCACCCACAGGGACAGGCCTGGGACGGTTTCACAGCTTTCATTGACAGAAAGGTAAGAAGAAATTTATGCAGTTTGAAAAAATATGTAGCTGTCCCATCCAAACAACTATTTTTTTTATAATTTCAACTCCTCTGACCTGCATTTCTGACAGGAGAAAACTGATAGGATTTTTTCAATCCATTATTTCTCTTGTCCCTGACGTGTCACCTGTATCAAGGTTAATGTGATTTCTATCATTTTAACAATCTGGTGCCATAATGTATTTTGAGTGAAGAAGCTATAATGGTTTTTAAAATAGGGAATAATTCTCAATAACTTAGAATGGAAACCAACAGCTTTATAACAAGTTACAGATGTTTTGGATTTGGATTTGGTTAATCTACATATCTTTTACAGAGCAAAAAAATATCTTAGAATTTAAAACAAGTGCAGAAACAGGGTTAAGTTAAAGTGGACATGAATTGTCATATTGTATCACAGGGTAAAATATCATAATACGAATCAAATAATCATATTGAATCATGACTACAAGCATCTTTTGATTTATTACAACACTAGATAGTAGAAGTACTAGATATTGAAATTGCTCTACAGGTTGGAAATTAAAGACTAGGCTATCCTGTTACACATTTTCTCATTGCACACTGCGTACCATTTGTTGTGTAATCAGGAGCGATAAGACGAGATGTAATATTGTCTTTCAAATCTGTTTCAGCCATTGAGAACATTAACTATATCAGAATTACAGTCAGTGATTTCTGATTTAAAAGGTTACGACCACTCTAGAGTTATAATAAACCAACTACAAGATCTAATAGTTACTACCTTGATGAATTTAGAGGCTTTACATTGGTTAAACAACAACAGAATCAGGTGGGTTTTGTTAAAATTATGTTGGAGTTTGAGAAAGCAAGCAGCCATTTATAAAATCACTTCGTTCTAAACATCCTGGGGTCTCTTAATAACTGTTACAATTCTCTTGAAGAAAAAAAATGATAGTTTACCGTTTTCAAATGGTATATTGAAAGTTTGCCATGAATTTTGCCATGATCATTGTATATATCCAGTAGCATTGAACTTTTAACTGCAAACTTTCTGGTGTATTGATGATTATTACACTTATCTTGAATAAAAAAATGATAGTTTATATATTGAAGTCTTCCATGAATTTTCCCCGCATGGCGTTGCCCTTCTTCATTAGCCCACATGGTGCAGAAAAGTAGGACGCAAAATCTCCATTCATCACATTTTTCCATGATCATTGGATAAATCCAAGAGCATTTCCTTCAAATTGTCCTGGAGATCAATGTCAGATCTGAACATTTAAAACCCTTGATCAGACATGACTGGTAAATACAGACAAAAACCCTGGAAATAAGTAATAGATTAATCACTTCATTACATCTGAATATTTTGGTGCCTTAATCAGACCTGGCTGATAAATTTAGACAAATCAGGAGTTCTGGATGTAAGAGATTGATTAATTCCGAATATTTTGTAGCCTTAGTCAGACATGACTGGTAAATATTAGCAATTCAAATTGATTAATTCATGTATATTTTGTAGATGTCCAACTTGTTTCCAGTGGCTAGAAATGGTCACAGTTTTTAATACAACATTTCACCCGTTTATTCTACAGGTAAATATTATTACAATTTCTTCACCTTGACTTCAGGATTTTATCTTCAAAAAGATAAGCTGTTTACTGGTCACCATTCTATCTAAAGCTTTGCTCTTAAAGAAATGTGTAAGAAGTTTTGTCTCCTTGGCTAGTCTCTCCTGAATTGTTAAATCACATGGACAACAGGCTGTGTTATAAGTGTATACAACAAGGGGTCTAGTTTGAAAAGGCTGGAGAGATCTACGTGAACCACTCTACTACAAATATCTACCTTCTCAAAAATATATATATATCATCTTTTTCTAGATTCATCAGTCTAGTACAATAAATACCAAACTCATTTTGACTGGGGTAATTTTGTAGTAAATACATTGTGCTATGGGTAATAACTTGGACAAAAAAAAAATCAAATTTTTCAAAATAATGAGTTAAACAATTATCAACAATATGCTCCGTTAGCCATCAATGGAAATTATTTATTTTATATCAATGCTAGTTATGATCTATTAGTCATAAATGTTGTCAGCTTACATGTGTTATATATCTTTATTCATATTTTTAAGTCATTAACTGGAATATTGAAAGGTGATATTGATTATTATGATATTATCTGGTTAGATTTGATCCATTAGTTACAAATGCGGTCAGCTAATGCATATTCAGTTTTAATGAATATTCATATCCATTTTTTTTAAACAATATCGATAATTATTTATTTTTAGATACGATCCTCGTCCCATCACGGTAAACAATCATCATTAAACGAATATCTCGTTCATCAGAAAATACTGGACAATCTGGCAGCCATGTTGGTTTCCAAGACAACTGTTACTATGGATGTAGGGAAGGGGTTACATGAACTGGGATTAACTCAGATTTTAGGGGTAAGTAAAGGATTATTTCTTACAATTCTTCTGCAAAATCCAAAGTTATTCTGGGAGTGAAAAAGTTGACCTAGATAGTAGTGGCAGTTGTCGCGCGTAAAGGAGACAATGCTTGATGGTACTTCTCTTTAGAGGAGTGTACTATCTATCTACCCTTCATCCCTATTTTGCCATTCTTTGGACGAGAGTTTTGATTGACGGACTAATGTTGCTTGTACAGATTTTTATTCTTTTAATGCTGATTTCATGTCAGGTTTGAATAGAAATGATATATATATCCATATTGATGTTAATATTAAATTAGTTTATCAATTCAATATAGTACGGTATAAACATCAAATCATCATTGAGAGATTTATAACAGGAAACAGAATGGAACGGAATTATTTATTTAATCAACCTGAAACCAAATAAACAATTCAGCATCAAACCTAGGGATATTATCTAATATTATTCTTGCCACTAGTGAGAAATTCAATCCAAATAATGCAAATAAAATTTGATAAACCTATTGAAATAGGAATATATTTGGCAGTAGATTTATAAACAGAATTAGCAGTTAGTTTGTATTTAATATAAAATAACATCCAATATAAATAAAATTAACTCTAGTAGATATCTTTCAACACTTATTCAATTTCTGATATTTTCTTCTGTTCGTTGTATATTTTTATCTAATTCTGTAGGTCTAAAGTAGAGTGCTGGATATCTTGTACGGTTTATTTTAGATGTGTTATTTCTATTACAGTTGTAGATTATAATTTTTGGTAGCTTTCTATGTATATTTCTTTATTTTGACACAAAAAAGTGATTTTCAATTTTACTATTGTCAACTAATTTAGGCTCTCTTTTGGATTTAGCCTTTCTTTATTCACCTAAACTAGAGCATTTCATTTTTAAAATATATTATAAATACATGAAAGATTTCTGTAACAGGAAGGTTCAAACTACTACAAAATGTCGGAGACATTGAATTTTTCATCAGGACAGTGTGCATTATTTATTTTGATTGATATTTTTCAAAATTTATACCAGGGTATGAAAGGTGTGTATTATATATGTAATTATAGGGTATATGAGTTATTATTAATTAATATCATGTCAATAATTCTGTTGAGATTTCTCTTAAGTTAATTTTTGTTTTTGTTTCAGAATCAACAAGTATGTAATAAGGAGAGGTCTGTTTGTTTGATGGAAGATGATTTACATTTTATTTTAAAAAATAGGCAAGAACACATTAATATGGGAAACTTTATTAAGGTAAATCCTTGTTTTAAAGTCAGGGATATCAATTTGTTTGTTTTACCAGTCATGTCTGATTGAAATTTTAAAATGAACTTTGTAGACATCTGAAGATTTTGTTTTAGTTTAAGTGGTATAGAGCAGAGACCTTAACAATTCCTGAAAGGGATGGCCATGGCATCACATATTTTCAGAGATAAATATTCTATTAACTGATCAGTTAGCTAGCCCACTGCAATCTCCAGTGTTGGCTTTATATCCCCTGTAAAAAGTAGCTTAAGATGTAAAAATTATCACAAAATATCATTTTAATTCATAGAGTTTTACAAATCTCAAATTATTTTCTTTCAGCTGTATCCACTAACAACATCAGTAAAATATACCAAGATATTGAAATCTCTATACACAGATATTAATAATACATCAGAGAGTTTCGAACCCTGGGCACAGCAACCCCATTCCACACTATATCTTCATTCCGTGTTGTTAAGTTTAGAAAGATTTTACGCCAATGTTGATAAAGAAGATAGAATAGAAAGATATGATGATATGAACATTCCTATGTTAGTTTTCCTTAAAGTTTGACTTCAGAAGTATTTACAGTGACGTAGAGAGACGTAAAGTGATGTAAAATTCCTTTGTAAAGCACTGGCCAAGGTCACAATAAAGGTTCTTCATCAGCTCCAATAGAAAAGGGGGTCTGAAAAGATACAAATATGAAATATAGATAGATTACAATATATACTTGTTGAATCAGCTGGTATGAAATTTCCTTAATTGCACACTGCATGGTGTTGTAGGACTATATTGAATTGAATATCATTAGACCAATAATCATACAGAACAGGGGGGTGTAAAACTTCAATTCTTTTTATTTTCAGTGATTCCAAACAACCAGTAAAAGATGGTGTTGTTAAAATTGTAGAAAAATCAGAAGAAAAGCTTCCAATCAGAAGAATTGAGGGTAAGAATTGATCTAACTGTATATTCTTCAATTCTAGATATACTACCTATTAGGATGATGTAAGAACTGAAATTTACAAACTTGGTTAAAATGAGTTTTTGTTCATCACCTAGTGTCATAACTATACAACATAATCCAATAAGACTAAGTAATAATTATTAGACTAAGTAATAATTATTAAACTAAGTAATAATTATTAAACTAAGTAATAATTTAGTAAACTAAGTAATGATTTAGTAAACTAAGTAATAATTTAGTAAACTAAGTAATAATTTAGTAAACTAAGTAATAATTCATTAAACTAAGTAATAGTTCATTAAACTAAGTAATAATTTATTAAACTAAGTCATGATTTATTAAACTAAGTAATAATTTATTAAACTAAGTAATAATTTATTAAACTAAGTAACAATTCATTAAACTAAGTAATAATTTATTAAACTAAGTAATAATTTATTAAACTAAGTAACAATTCATTAAACTAAGTAATGATTTATTAAACTAAGTAATAATTCATTAAACTAAGTAATAATTTATTAAACTAAGTAATGATTTATTAAACTAAGTAATAATTTATTAAACTAAGTAATAATTTATTAAACTAAGTAACAATTCATTAAACTAAGTAATAATTTATTAAACTAAGTAATTTTGAAACATGCTTATCATGCTCATTCTAGTCATCTTGAAGATTTTTTTTCACACTGACAGTATTTTTGTTCCAAGTTCTAAGGATTTTTTTTATTTTGTAGATAATTTTACCAAACCACCCTGTGATAAAGGTACGACAATCTTATAGTTATATTTTGATAGATTATAGAAGTATTGAGCACTAATTAATCATTTATGATTGTGGTCAGTAATAATCCACAGTGGCTCTAGAGCTATATGGGAACTATTGTCATTTCACAGACTAGAGATTAGGGTGGTTGAAAGGAAACAAGTTACTATCCAACAGAAGGCACTGGCACAAGTAGAAGTTACATTGTTGTAATTTCTCTTGGTACACAGCATAGAACCATTTCAATTTAATCGTTAGATAATTGATGTAAAAGAAGTATGTTCTCTTCTTGTGACCTTGGCCAGTGCTTCTGTAGGAGAGTATCTTCTATAACACCCAACACCCACAAGACAAACTGGTGGCAAAACATTGAAGTGAAGAGGTTTTCCCAAGAATACTCAAGGATTTGCTCCATTCATTTAGAAGATAGATTTAACTTTATTAACGCTGTTCAGAGAAATACAGATGAGATTTTTATGACATTGAGCATCAGGTATATTTTTTTCCCTGGGAAATCAGTTAATTATTGCAAAAAAATTGTATTTTTTGTTTCAGATCCATCCAGTATGCCTTATTTAGGTCACTTATCAACAGTGCCACCTGTAGAACTAGAACCAGAGTTCTCCCCCTTTCTAACTGACTATACGGCCACTGTGGGTTATAATACATTGTTGATGAAGGTCATGGCCTTTGCTAAAAGTTGTTCATCCCAGGCTAGGCTGGAAGACAAACAAGGAGATAGTGGGTAAGATATCAGTTGTTAATTTTAAATTGTTCCACACTCTGTAACCTAATTACCATGATGCATGTGCATATCATAGCGAGAGTAAATCATAGATTAAGTATACGAAACTAGTGGAGAAATTCATTGCATCACATTTTGATCAAACAGTACATATTTTTTCCAAATGTACAAACTGTTGTTGTTCAGTTGGCCCCAGTAAGGTAGAGTTGTGGAATACACTTTATTACCACTCAATATTATGGTGTCTGTCTGCATTATTCATTATGATGTCTGCATTATTCGTGATGTCCACATTATTTGTGATGATGTCTGCATTATTTGTGATGATGTCTGCATTATTCGTGATGTCTGCATTATTCGTGATGATGTCTGCATTATTCGTGATGTCCACATTATTTGTGATGATGTCTGCATTATTCGTGATGTCTGCATTATTCGTGATGATGTCTGCATTATTCGTGATGATGTCTGCATTATTCGTGATGATGTCTGCATTATTCGTGATGTCCACATTATTTGTGATGATGTCTGCATTATTCGTGATGATGTCTGCATTATTCGTGATGATGTCTGCATTATTCGTGATGTCCACATTATTTGTGATGATGTCTGCATTATTTGTGATGATGTCTGCATTATTTGTGATGATGTCTGCATTATTTGTGATGATGTCTGCATTATTTGTGATGATGTCTGCATTATTTGTGAAGATGTCTGCATTATTTGTGATGATGTCTGTATTATTCGTGATGATGTCTGCATTATTTGTGATGATGTCTGCATTATTTGTGATGAAATTGTCCGCATTATTCATTATGCTGTGCACTGTGTACAGTGATAAAGGTAGATGGTATCTTACCAGTTGTCTGCCTTTATTTCAGAATCTCCAACATCACCCTGGGGATTGGTGAGAATAAAATCTGGATATTTATAGTTGATACGAGCCACAGTGATACGTGGGTGGTTAACACGTATACCATCTTAATAACACGGCACGGTCCAGATATACCTCAACCCTTTATACCAACACAATATTATCAGATCTGTTCTCTAAAACAGGTATAGTATAATATTTAACTAATAAGGGTATAGAAGGGGATTTTACTTCGCTTGAAAAATGGTTTGCTCCCCAATTGTACCCCCACTTTATTTTCTAACAAATCTAAAAATATTATGTCTAAGAATGCACCAAATCAATTCAATTTTTCGAAAATTTTCTTAAGAGAACTCTCTCCAAGAGAGGCTTGATACTATGACGCCTCCACGGAGTTGCCTCATTTTGAATTTAACCTTGACACTTGTCCCTTCATTGAATCAGTCTGCTCCATATTTTTATGCCCAGTTTCGAGAAGCAGGACTGCCACTGTATTTAACAAGCCTTTAGTCGAGGTTCAAGATTTCAAGATTGTCTGAGTATTAAAATATGTAGTTTATATTTAAGATGAAGAGAAGATGATTAAGATAAAAATGATTGAAATTTTGTGTATAATTATAGGATTGTTCACTGCCGTTTTCTATGTGGGATGCATGTGGTCTTCAACAAGTTAACAGTAGATCAAGTTGGAGTCAATTTATAGAGAATCTACAGTCATCATTACCAACGTGTTCTACAGGCAGTGCCCCAGGTCTGTCCCAATTTTATCCTTCTGGTGCTACTTCATTCATGTACCTCTCTTTGATTTTAACTTTTTATCCACTATAATAGGACATGATTTTCTAGACTCTATTCAGAGTGTCCTCTCCAAATTTCAATTTTCTCAATCGGATGATTTTTTCTGCTTTAAATTCAATTTTTCGTTCGTGATTGGCTTTATTGTCTTATTCATCCTACTTTCAATCGATTTTATCAACTGTGAGTTGTATGGTTTAATCCCAGCACACATCAAAATAAAACCTTCTGATATTTCAACCAAGTTTCCCCGTGTCAGTGATACAAATCAAAGGAGCCATTTGGATTAGACAATAATTTGAAACCTCATGTGCTACAAACTCTTCATCCAAATACCAAGAAGAAAAATGTCTGCCGAACTACGGATCTTAAAAGTTATATTTTTATGTGTTTTGATATTTGGATTCTATTAACAGGTGAATGGTACGTACCTTGTAATCAGTGTCGAAACGAGTCCAGTTGTTTCTGGAACAAAGCAAGATGGCAACCATACTCGTGTCAACACCCTGTCATGGAGAGAGATTCTCTTAAACAATGTTTTATTGATAAAAAAGTAAGTTTATTACAATATTTAAATTTAGCGAACCCTTACCATTAATTATAGATCAAAGTTAGTTTTATTTGACAAAAAAGATAAAGAACAGCTGTGTATTTAGTTCTCCAAACTGAAAAACCGCCAAGTTCTTTTGAAGATTTTTAAATCTGTTATGACATCTTTTTTGCTGCTGGTTAGTTTTAGGTCTTGTTTTGAAGTTCATGCTGTAGAAATTAAAAAGAGCACATCTCATGCTGCTGACACATGTTTCAGGGCAGTTAAATTTTAGTTTTGAAAATAGAGGTTAACTTTCTGGACTGTAGGTGTTTAAGTAAAGTATACTATCTCATGATTTTGACCATTGTAGTAGTGGCAGGTGTCGAACATAAAGCAGATCATGCTTGCTCTTTTCAAAACACTTGATGGTACCTCTCTTTGTAGGAGTCCACTACCACACAACTTTTACTTTCGATTATGCCATACTTTAGATGAGATTTTGATTAACGGAATTGTCTTGCTTGTACGGATTTGTTGATACAAACTCACATCAGTAAGGAGTCAACAAGGAGAATAATCCAAAATATGAAGCATGATTGACTAGACCTCACCTTATACTGCTGATACATGTTTCAGATACACAACCCTCATCAGGACAAACATATTATCTTTGTTGTCAATATATTATTATTATTATTATTTGTGGTACTGTTGTGATTATTTCTAGGTATTATTTATTGGAGATTCTACCAACCGAGGAATTCTACATTACGTTACAGAACAGGTTAATGGAACACTGTTAGAGTGGGATAAAACTCACAATCTGAAAGTTTACTCAAATCTTAACGACAACCAAACCATGTTCAGCTTCGCATATTACCCACAATTCTGGTTACCAGCAGAACATCGCCCGGTGTTTGATAAAGCTTTATATCAACTGATGAAACGGTATGTCTTTATAACTATTTAGTTATATTTACTTTACCAGCTGATAGAGCTCAATTTCAACTATCTGTATAGTCATCTAAATATTTACTTTACCAGCTGATAGAGCTCAATTTCAACTATCTGTATAGTCATCTAAATATTTTCTTTACCAGCTGGTAGAGCTCAATTTCAACTATCTGTATAGTCATCTAAATATTTACTTTACCAGCTGGTAGAGCTCAATTTCATCTATCTGTATAGTCATCTAAATATTTACTTTACCAGCTGATAGAGCTCAATTTCAGCTATCTGTATAGTCATCTAAATATTTACTTTACCAGCTGATAAAACTCAATTTCAGCTATCTGTATAGTCATCTAAATATTTACTTTACCAGCTGATAAAACTCTATTTCAGCTATCTGTATAGTTATCTAAATATTTACTTTACCAGTTGATAGAACTCAATTTCAGCTATCTGTATAGTCATCTAAATATTTACTTTACCAGCTGATAAAACTCTATTTCAGCTATCTGTATAGTCATCTAAATATTTACTTTACCAGCTGATAAAACTCTATTTCAGCTATCTGTATAGTTATCTAAATATTTACTTTACCAGCTGATAAAACTCTATTTCAGCTATCTGTATAGTTATCTAAATATTTACTTTACCAGGTGGTAGAGCTCAATTTCAGCTATCTGTATAGTCATCTAAATATTTACTTTACCAGCTGATAAAACTCTATTTCAGCTATCTGTATAGTCATCTAAATATTTACTTTACCAGCTGATAAAACTCTATTTCAGCTATCTGTATAGTTATCCAAATATTTACTTTACCAGCTGGTAGAGCTCAATTTCATCTATCTGTATAGTCATCTAAATATTTACTTTACATGCTGATAAAACTCTATTTCAGCTATCTGTATAGTCATCTAAATATTTACTTTACCAGCTGATAAAACTCTATTTCAGCTATCTGTATAGTCACCTAAATATTTACTTTACCAGCTGATAGAGCTCAATTTCAGCTATCTGTATAGTCATCTAAATACTTACTTTACCAGCTGATAGAACTCAATTTCAAATATCTGTATAGTCATCTAAATATTCACTTTACCAGCTGATAGAGCTCAATGTCAGCTATCTGTATAGTCATCTTAATATTTACTTTACCAGCTGATAGAGCTCAATTTCAACTATCTGTATAGTCATCTAAATATTTACTTTACCAGCTGATAGAACTCTATTTCAGCTATCTGTATAGTCATCTAAATATTCACTTTACCAGCTGATAGAGCTCAATGTCAGCTATCTGTATAGTCATCTTAATATTTACTTTACCAGCTGATAGAGCTCAATGTCAGCTATCTGTATAGTCATCTTAATATTTACTTTACCTGCTGATAGAACTCAATTTCAGCTATCTGTATAGTCATCTTAATATTTACTTTACCTGCTGATAGAGCTCAATTTCAGCTATCTGTATAGTCATCTTAATATTTACTTTACCATCTGATAGAGCTCAGTTTCAACTCAATAGTATTTTTGTATCCAATGTTTTCAATTTATGAATTATTTAAATCAAACATCACTGAAAAAGAGAGTGCTTTGAAATTTATTTGGAAAACTAAATGACTTATTACAAACATGACTATAATTATAGGAGTATGCCTCTACAGAATAATAGTAATACAGTTTTAGTAATTGGAGGTGTACATTGGTTAGGCAAACATCATATAGACGTAGTGAATAAAGCATTAAATAGGTAAGAGGACTGGTTAATGAAGTCTGTTAAGATTTAATTTAAACTGTTGAACAATATAGGAAGCTCTACCAGTCCAGGATTATGTGATATTTTCCAATGCGGCCTGTGAAACAGCCATTCTTTCTGAAAAGTGTTGACTTCACTCTACAGAATCAGCATAATATTCTTTAAAACATGTACTTGTCCTTCTTTTGAAAAGACTTTCATACAACTTTATACTGTGGTGTTGCTAGTAGGGGTACAGGGGTCTTTCAACTCCTAGAAAAATTCCATGCCCACTTCATTCCTAAGAAATGTCAAATATGACAAAGATGTTTTAAGTTAGGCGTCAGAATGCACCAAATTAAACTGTTTTTAAATATTTTTATGGGGGGAGAACCCCCTTAGACCAACAGTGTTAAGGTTGCAGCAATAGCACTTTTTGAAATCTTAAGCTAACAGTGGCCCACCCATTTTGTCAGTCTGCCCTTTATATAGAATAAGATATTTGTTGATATCTTTCTCGAGTTTGTTGGAATAATTATTTAAAAGTTTAAGTATATAAGTATTTATTATTTTTATTTTGTAGAGAAGGTTTAACTGGGATTAGACTGGTAATAAAAGGGTTAGGAGCAGGTTTTCATCAACCTGTTAGTGGTGTTCATTGTTTAACACAGGTTAGTATATACTCTAAATTACTTACAACTTACATCACTATAACTATACATACTTGATTGAAAAGTGTTTGACTGAGGTCAGTATATACTCTAAATTACTTACAACTTACATCACTATAATTATACATACTTGATTGAAAAGTGTTTGACTGAGGTTAGTATAAACTCTAAATTACTTACAACTTACATCACTATAACTATATATACTTGATTGGAAAGGTTTGACTGAGGTTAGTATAAACTCTAAATTACTTACAACTTACATCACTATAACTATACGTACTTGATTGGAAAGTGTTTGACTGAGGTTAGTATAAACTCTAAATTACTTACAACTTACATCACTATAACTATATATACTTGATTGAAAGGTTTGACTGAGGTTAGTATATACTCTAAATTACTTACAACTTACATCACTATAACTATACATACTTGATTGGAAAGGTTTGACTGAGGTTAGTATAAACTCTAAATTACTTACAACTTACATCATTATAACTATACATACTTGATTGGAAAGGTTTGACTGAGGTTAGTATAAACTCTAAATTACTTACAACTTACATCACTATAACTATATATACTTGATTGAAAGGTTTGACTGAGGTTAGTATATACTCTAAATTACTTACAACTTACATCACTATAACTATATATACTTGATTGGAAAGTGTTTGACTGAGGTTAGTATAAACTCTAAATTACTTACAACTTACATCACTATAACTATATATACTTGATTGAAAGGTTTGACTGAGGTTAGTATAAACTCTAAATTACTTACAACTTACATCACTATAACTATATATACTTGATTGGAAAGGTTTGACTGAGGTTAGTATAAACTCTAAATTACTTACAACTTACATCACTATAATTATACATACTTGATTGGAAAGGTTTGACTGAGGTTAATCCAAACTCTATATTACTTACCGGTACAACTTGCAAATGCCCCTTTTTTTAATTTCAGTCTGATCATGAGAAGTTATTGAACCATAATCGTGTTTTACTAGATTACGCTTCTAAAAATAGATATCATGTTATCGACACGTTCAATATGACCATGGCCAGATATAAAGATTTCCTGCAGGGCAAGTGTGCCTGTCATTTTCACCGGGTGAGTCAATTTATGTTTTAGGGCAAACCTAGTGGCGGTGCCAGCTTCCTGAGACTGGCGGTACAAATAGGGCGCAAACTGACTCAATATAAATAGAAAGTAAATTTCTACTTTGAAGTATTTTAATGGAATGATGCGATTTCCGTATATTTCTAGTTCTTTTGAAAACTATTTACTTTATCCTAGATCCAAATCAACCCCTAGTGTAAGACCTGTATCATATTAGGATCTGGTTGATTGTACCACCAGAACAACTAGATTATTCCAAGTCTGAAGGGTTAAAAAGGTATTATCTTGACCTATACCAGTCAATGCTACTGAAAACAGAAACAATGTCAGCTTTTTGAATCAATGGAGAAGACTCTCTTTGACTATTTGTTAATTTTATTTTCCATTTGTAGGTATCACTAGTAAAAGAAAATACAAAAACCAGACATTCTGTTGACCAGCCTCAATATCATGTAGAAGGGGAGATAAATGCTGTTTATTCAGAGATGACTATAAATGAGATTTGTCGTCCAGGATGAGTTGGTAAAACAGAAACCTGCTGTCAAAATTAACTGATTATTCATGACAGAAACAAGCATATATTATCATATATCACTCAAGAAGTATTGCCTCTTCTGCATTATTCAGCCATAGTTAAAACCTGAGAGTCTTAAGCTATCTGAGTTAAGCTATGTGACTTGAGCTATCTGAGTTAAGCTATCTAGGTTGAGCTATCTGAGTTGAGCTATCCGAGTTGAGCTATCTGGGTTGAGCTATCTGGGTTGAGCTATCTGAGTTGAGCTATCTGAGTTGAGCTATCTGGGTTGAGCTATCTGGGTTGAGCTATCTGGGTTGAGCTATCCGAGTTGAGCTATCTGGGTTGAGCTATTTGAGTTGAGCTATTTGAGTTGAGCTAACTGAGTTAAGCTATCCGAGATGAGCTATCTGGATTGAGCTATCTGGGTTGAGCTATCTGAGTTAAGATATCTGAGTTAAGATATCTGAGTTAAGCTATCTGAGTTAAGCTATCTGAGTTAAGCTATCTGAGTTGAGCTGTCCGGGTTGAGCTATCTGAGTTGAGCTGAGTTGAGCTATCTGGGTTGAGCTAACTGAGTTAAGCATTATGTTACCATGTATAGCTTTAAGAGAATTCCGCCAGTAAAAATGGTACAAGGGTCACCTACCACAGAAATATAGTTGAAATCACCAAAGCTTCAGAGAAATGTGATAAAGGGACATATAGTGTATGGAATTTGACTCATGAGGATTGTCAACTAATAGACAAATGACAAAATGGTGCTAGAATTGAAATAATTTAATACAGATTTCAGGGTTCAGCCAGATATACTGTGGTATCAGATAACCCTGAACAAATATTAGGACAAATTTTCATAATAGTATTATATATATGGACTGTGCTACATGTGAGTTTCAAAGTTAAGAAAAAACAACAATAAATATGAGATCCTATTTAGATAATCCTACAAATAACTTAAAACTTTTGTGATAGTGCTCCATAATGCTTCGTTTTCTGGAATATTTGATATTTGACTGAATATTGGAATGGTGCATATTGAAACTATTAGTGTCCCTGATACATTATGCATTATATACTGTCCGATGAATATTATCATGAGTGTCACGGTGCTAAAAAAAACAGTGTTAAAACCAAAAGTGTTCAGAATATTTTTTATTCAAAAGCCTAGTCTAGTCTACTTCTTACATGATTTCAGGACCTTTACCCTGCTGTCAGATGGTATTTCATTGGTTATTTAGTCCAACTTACCTTAAAGGGATTGTAAAGAAAGAGGCTTTCTAAATTGTTTAAGTGTCGGAGATGGTATCGGCGTCCCCGATATACATAATAATTTTAGAAAACCTCTTTACAATCTCTTTAATGGATTTAACTAGTCATTCAGGTTTTCCTCTAGAATTCTATTTGGAAGCTATGACAGTAGGCTACATCACGTAACACGGTGGGAATTTCAACTAAAAGGGGTGGATATACCTGCTACTTTCTCAACAAAGAAAACAAATCTACCGAATTCTGCAAAAAGACGATGACCGACCTAATATCCAAATGAAAATGAACAATGGCGTTTCTTATAATACGGTGCCAGTGAAAGTACGGGTGGGGATTTTAGGTTGTAACATTGCGGTTAAGCAATGTTACGAAAGCACAGGCACAGGCATGTAGGCGGAGTGATGGTTTGGTTCCCCAGTTGTACTACCATCTCATTTCTTAATTTATTTTCAAATTTAGAAATATGATTTCTATACGCTTTTGCGCACACATTTTTAGTCGAAATGCAACAAATCAATGCTATTTTTTTGGCATTTTTTTAGAACTCTCAGACGCATCGATCGTGGAGTCTTGCTGTGATTGCGCCTCAACAGAGTTGCCTAATGATTCAACCTTGTCAGTTGTTCCTCATTCAGTCAATCTGCCCCCTGTTTGTACCCCCTGCAGTTTCGGGAGGCTGGTGCCGCCACTGCCTGTAAGCCCCCTTGAAAAACGCCCTGATGTGCCAAAAAGATTATAACCACCCATTCAGAGATCTATTTATTATTAAGGGAAACATGTAAAATTTCTATATATTTTTATATTGTCATATCAATATTAGCCTAATAAAACATTCTCTAAATATTCCACCGGGTTTTTATTTCGAGTCACGTGATTCGACATATTCTTAGCTGATTCATAACCACTTCCTTACTTTTTTACAGAATTCGTAATAGCCTCTTGAAATCCGTATTGAATTCTTGACAATATTTATACCTGAATCGCCAACGGGTATGTACTGTATAGATATACAAGAATCCCTGCTGTTGCAGGTATCAATACAATTTTATAGTCTTGGATCTTCCCCTGCACTGTTGATTAGTTGTTGTCTTAATAGGAGGCAACAACAATACCGTCGCATTCAGGGCTGGAGATACAATCTTGAATACATTGTGTAGTATTTTCTGGCCCTTGAAAACGTTGTTTCACTGATAGCTAGGAAAGCTAGAACAATCAGTAAAATATTGTCGTGGTGCCATCATAGTTAACCTGTCTTTGAGTGAACAGAATCAGCCAAGTTGACCAGTTTATATACATCCTAAAATCTTTCAATCAAAAATACGAATACTAAATTAACAATAAAATAAATTGCTTATAAGAAAATTAATTTGTATGTTATGAATTCGGTTAACGAATGCCCAGGACGTCGTCCGACACGTAGGTCTATTCCGGAACAGATGTTATCTCATTTTACCATCATTTATTTCTGTTAACCTTCAAATGATCATGAAGGGTATCTTTTGACCTGATAATGCGGTCTGGGTGAGACCTGACGCCCGACAGATCTGACCAACCCTTTTCTTGGGTTTGATATATAGATGGGGTATCGGCACGTTTCACTGTGTTTAAAGCTAAATTTGTCCTAAATTTTGGTATCTATACATTGAACCATTAAAGAGCCCCTCAAGACAGTTGAATATTTGGAGGTCTGATCTACAGACTGAATACATGTTATTTTTATAATATTTTTGAGAGTAGGTTCGCCTAATCTGTATTCTGTAGGTCTTTCAGAGTTTCTCAACTGGCGGCACGGTGCTCATCTGTGGTATATCATAGAACTAAAACACAGACACCTGTTTCTATCAATAATCTACTCTCTCTATGATAGTATATACATGTTCTTTTAGTGACAGTATAATGATCATAGGAACATGTTGCCTCCCCAGAAAAATAGTTTTACCCCCAAAACATGATTTGGATCATTTTGGCCTCAAATATTTTGTCAAAATCAGAATGCACCGAATCAATTCATTTTTTCGAAAACTTTCTTGGAAGACCCCTCCTAGTCCCCACCAATGAATCATTCGAGAGGCTGGTGCCGCCACTGTTTTAAGTAAAAAAAAGTTTTTTTTAGGTATAAAGGGACATAACCCAATTTAATGAAATCAAAATAAATTTAAGTAACATATTTACACTTATATTACATATAGTTGACATTTGTTAAAACACAAAAAATACAAAAAAATAAGGCATTGTTTAAACCTATTGTAAGATTATTTCTCATCAAACTGATGAATTGTAACCATCCATCTACATTTCTGATTTACACACGAATACAAATGTAACAAAGTAAAATCACACACACACACACACCCCCTAACTACAAGTATCCAGTTCTGATACAATTCATGCATAAAGTGAAAGAAAAGATTTCAAGACACATTGATTCATTTAAAACAATGATTCACAAGGAAAGTTGATAGAACTCAGTTTCAGCTATCTGTATTGTCATTTAAATATTTACTTTACCAGCTGATAGAGCTCAATTTCAGCTATCTGTATAGTCATCTAAATATTTACTTTACCAGCTGATAGAGCTCAATTTCAGCTATCTGTATAGTCATCTAAATATTTACTTTATCAGCTGATCGAGCTCAATTTCAGCTATCTGTATAGTCATCTAAATATTTACTTTACCAGCTGATAGAGCTCAATTTCAGCTATCTGTATAGTCATCTTAATATTTACTTTACCAGCTGATAGAACTTAATTTCAGCTATCTGTATAGTCATCTAAATATTTACTTTACCAGCTGATAGAGCTCAATGTCAGCTATCTGTATAGTTATCTAAATATTTACTTTACCAGCTGATAGAGCTCAATGTCAGCTATCTGTATAACATGAGGTCCTTCGTGATTAGTTTTAGGGTAAATTAAGACAAGCCTCGTTAAAAACTTAGTTTATGTGGGATTACATAAACCACAGATGTCTGATTGAAAATTGGAATGGTCCCTGATACACATAAACAATTTAGAAAACCTCTCTACAATCTCTTTAAGCAAATGTCAAGATGACTGTTTCTCTTTAAATAAATACTCCACTCAGTATGTTCTTGGCACAGGAGAGTCATATAATTTCCTGAGTATAATCAGTCTGAATTAGACTGTAGTCTATGAGCAGCTAATCTTTCAATGTCATCTAAACTTAGTGATGACACACCTTTCTCAAAATTCTGAAAAAAAAGAAAACAAATAAGTTTTTAAAATAAAGATTTCCTGTAAAATATTCCACTGTTCATCTCACGCTAATGTTTAATTAGTCTTCTTACTTCTTACTTACTTACTTATTTTGAAGGCCAAGTAGATAAAAATGAAATGAATGGAGTTTTATGTCCTACTTTTCTGCACCATGTGGGCTAATGAAGATAGAAAGCCAAGTAGAAAGGATTGACTTGGTCATAATATAAATAGAATAAATGTTAACCCCTCTTCTTCATTTCACTCTAGAAAAATTGTTTGTTTCCCCCATTTGTACCTCTCCCCACATCATTACAAACAAATTTTTAAATAAGATTTTTATACATTTTTGCCCCAATATATTTATCTGAATGAACCAAATCAATTCCTCAAGAGAATGTTTGAGCCTAAGCATTCCATGGAACTGCTGCAGTTTGAACCTCAATTTCAAAAGTTGACGAAGTCAGTCTGCTGCCCCCTTTTTGCACACCAGTCTCCTCAAGAAGCAGACATTGCCACTAGTTACAGCAGGAAAGACAAATACATTTTGAAAACTAATCAGCTGATTACTGTGTACACAAAAATAATGATTAAAACACCAATCTATATCTTACCTTTATAAATTCTTTTAAAACCAAATCTGCATCTTTTTCTTTAAAATGTCTTTTTAAAAACACTGATAGTTTTTTCCAGTTGGGGGAGGAGACTACAAACGATTCCTGAATATCTGTCTTTTTCACCGTTAACATAATTCTAGCGCCATCTTTAATATCATAATCACAAAGCTTCTTATTGTCTGCAAATAGAGAAGAATAAAATATCTAGAGAGAAGTAAACAAATAACTAAAAGGGATAAACTAGAGGTACACTGAAGGAATATTGAGTTATCTCATACTTTGCTTCAACATATGACAATATTTCTTTAAAAAAACCAAGTAACAGTACTACCTGTTAATATTTTGCCTTTTAAAGTTAATCTTTGACTAGGAACTGGTACTGATAATAATGCTGAAACTTGTTCTTTAATATCTGTTACAAGACTACTGGGGGAGGCCTGCAATTAGAAACAAAGAGTGTGGATTCAAAACAGTAAGATGGATAAAATTAACAGAGGCCAGAGCAAATCACATCAAGTTTTCCAGGAGCTTTTCAATAAAAGCTTAGATCTAGATGTTGATCATATCTGCTCTTCATGGTGTTCAGTCAACTCGTCTCCACGTCAACTCGTCTCCAGGTCAACTCATCTCCACGTCAACTCGTCGCCAGGTCAACTCATCTCCACGTCAACTCGTCGCCATGTCAATTCGTTAACATGTCTACAAAGTTAGTTAAATCGTCTACAACCAGCAAATATTGTAGACAAGTGGCAAGATATTACTCTTCATTACTCATTTTGTCAATCTTGATAAAAAAGGTAAACTGATGAAATCACTGACTCAGACTGTTTACTGAGTGTTTATGTTGATCCACCTAACAATCAACCACCCCACCTCTATCCCCCGACCTAATACTTCTTTTACAGGTATCCAGTAAAAACAGTAACATGTCAAAACGGTAACAAATTTAAATAGTCAAAACGGTAAAAAGATCTGCCAAAGCACATCGTTGGACTAATTTTCCAGCCCCTCTCTCTACCACTGATGCCATTTACCAGGATAAAATAAGATATAACAATATAACGAGATGACATGTAGACGAGTTCACTAGACACCATATACCTGGCCTTACATACCAGGCCCTGCAAGTATTTATTCAGATTCAGATTGTCAATTGGATCGCTTTGAAGTCTCTATAGGCCTATAAGCTTATAGGCTGATATAAACCAGGAAATTAGGTTACAGTAGATGAAATTCTTTCTTCGAATATGAGTAAACCAACTTACAGAAACGACACATTCTTCGCCATTCAAAACTTTCACTGTCAGGTGCATTTTGAATGAAAAATACGAACTGTTTTTTTCAGAAAGTTGGGAAATTGAAAGTCAGTTTCTGTTTTGGTTGTCGTAAATGGTGAATCCCGTCATGGCGTAGTGATTTCTTATCCACATTACCAAGTTAAAATTCTCTGTTAATCGTCAAACTATTTGCTAAATTTTGTCGATTTGGAAAGATTATTAAAAAGATTCCTTTAGATGTATTTTGTCTTTTTAAAAACGATTACTTCAAATTCTTACAATAATTGGGGAATCCCTTGAACTATATTTCACCACTTTCCTAAATGAACAACGTAGCCGTTGTTGGGAGGATATATCTTTTCAACTTACTCCCTTGTACATAATGATAACATCTGAACTTCTATGTTTTAAAAGTATAAATTAATAAATTACTCCAAAATGATTAAAATCACAATTCATTTTAAGTTTTTCAACATAATTTGATAAAAAACGGTTTAATTTCTAGAAAGTACAGTCATTTTGGTAATCCATCACGAGGGCGTAAGGCTAGATCATTGAACAGCCTTCATTCACGGCATTCTTCTCTGACTGGCTGGCGATCTGCTGCATTCTCACTGGCTGTAACATTGACCAACCAATTTCTCAAGCTTCTCTCAATCATTCAGGTTTGTTGTTGTGATCCTGTAGCCAATGATTTCCACGTGTATCTGATTTAAATTAACTTCGATCTCCAAGAAAATCCAAGAATGAAGTTAACTCGGAAAATTATTAAGTTTTCCTTCCGCATTCGTCATGTAAAAAATATCGCCCACCGCCATTTTTCTTTTGTGACTTGAAAGTTGAGACTCTGAAAACAGTTTTGTTTTGTACACGAATTGGCAGTGCGTTTAATTTGTCAACAAAATATAAAACAAAAGACACATTAATCTGATAGAATATATTTGGAAATGGTTTGTTTATTAACTTGTGCAATAATGTATTAATTTTTATTATTATTAGGGTCTTCAGGTAAAGTTTAGGCAATGGCAAAAAAATTTTTTTTAACTTCCTTGTCCATGACTGGCGAAAATGACCAGGTGCCAATAATGTTTTTATCTGTTTAGTTAGGTGATGATAGGATTTGAAACTGACACCTGACTGACTTTCGAAGCACTGGCAGTGACATCTGTGGCTGTGCTAGCCTTGCGAGATTAGGGACGGAGGTACAAATAGGCTTAGGATGAATTTAGAATGCAGAAACAATTTGGAGACGTCTTTTCCGAATTTTAATGGTGCAAATCTATGCTATCACTGTCCCCGATACACATGAAAAGTTTCAAGAAGCCTCTTTACAATCCCTTTGTTACAACCATATTATAATGTTTTTTTACAGAATGGAAGGTGGAGGAGATAGTGGTAATGATAATAGTATGAGTGATTCATTTCTCACTAATCAACCATTCGTTGTTGAAGGTAAACTTAAATTTCTTCAAAACATATCTCAGATTCTCTGCAGTAAGGTACCGGCAACAGTTTCATTGATGTACTTGAAGTTGAAAAGTGATCAAGTGCTCGAGTTGAAAGCCCACACTGGGTTTAGTTTCAGAAGCACTGGTTGGGGAATCAGAATATTTCTGAAGTTGCAGAGGATTCAAACCCATAGCACCTGGTAGATGACAATCGAATTGCTTTTACTCTATTATTTTGATTGTTGAAGGATGTTCAGGGTAAGAATTTTAAGTTGATAAGTGATCAGGGTAGTGATGTCTGTAATATTTTGAAGTTGATAAGTCCTCAGGGTAGTGATGATGTTATGGTATTTGTAGGTGATGTAGAAGAAGGAATAGGATCAGGGGATGGAGATGAGGATGTAGGAAATAGTGAACCATTACGAGAACAGGTACTGTTTATATTTATATAGCTATATCTGTTTTAATTATTCCAGAGCTAAGGTGATACCATCTTCACAATGTCAACTTTGTCTAATACCTTGACTACGGTGGCCACTTTCATGGTATCACAAAATGCCTGGAAATGAGCGATTTGACTGGATTGTATGATATAGTTTATCAGAGCCCTCAACAGAAATGCTATAAACATTATGATTTTGTGTTCACAGAATTTCTATTGAGGGCTCTGTTTGACTGTACTACCTGTATTACAATCTAATTTAATAGCTGCATTACTGGTACTGAGACACATTTTCAATTTGTTGAAAGCTATAATAAAAATAAAAACATGTTCTTATGGTATGAGGTCTGTCTGATTAATCAAGTCAGAATATGATCATGAATATTATAAGTTATGTCATTATGTTGTCGTTATATTTTCAGGATAGATTCCTGCCTATAGCGAATGTAGCTAGGATTATGAAGAAATCAGTTCCTACGACAGGCAAGGTAAGAATTGAAAACAGACTGTAGTTTAGTCAGTAAGATCATTGAAATCATAACATTATTACAAATCTGTATTTTGGTCTTGTTCAATTTGGATATTACTCACCCCAGCTGTAAAGACGTTTGGCTAAGGATTAGTTGAACAGATTTCACTGGAAAACGTCCTGTATATGTGTAAAGAACTGTTAGTCAACATGTATATTCTGTTTATTAGTGTAAAGAACTGTTTTAAACTGTGTTTATTTTGTGTTATGTTATTATAGATAGCTAAAGATGCCAAGGAATGTGTACAAGAATGTGTTTCAGAGTTTATTAGTTTTATTACTAGCGAGTATCCTTTTATAAATCATAAGGCACTCTGGTGATGATGATGAGAAATCAGCGATATATTATGATAACTGAAATGTTTAATATTTTATAAATTAAGTATAACAGACATCACTATGATTATTGGTAGTTTCGGTTTGCTTAACTCTATCAAAACTGGATGTAAATGAAATAAAATGCCCTATACCCTGAGTAATATAATTCAAACCATATGACGTTAATGTTATCATTTTATAACGCACTCCGGTTTATATCATGTAATGATGATGTAAAGATAGAAAGATTATCAGTTTGGTGTTGTCGTTGACTTCGAATAAAAAACCAATTGTTAAGCATTGCCGAATAGATCCTCAATGATCTAGTACAAGATTTACAACGAACATCACTCATGAATAGTCTTTAATTCTTATCTATAAAACTGTAACCTTAACTGTATAATAGAGCTAGTGAGAGATGTCATCAAGAAAAGAGAAAGACTATTAATGGAGAAGATATATTATTTGCTATGTCTACATTAGGCTTTGATAATTATGTTGAACCATTAAAATTATATCTACAGAAATACAGAGAGGTTTGTGTTATTTTCAATTTTAGACCAGGGGTCTTATTCTCAAAAATATTAAAAATGATTTAAGTGTCAAGGTCATCTGATTAGTCGGTCATTAAATTGATTTTTAAAATATATTTTATTATCCTATCTTGCACTGTAATTCTTAAAATCAATACTTCCATTCTACGTAATTGTATAAGAACTGTATGTCCAAATTTGATAGTGAAAGGTCATACAGATAGCTGAAGATGAGTTCTATTAGCTGTTAAAACAAATTATTAGACAACTAATGCGTGAAAAATTACCTGAACGTGACTTTCTTATTAAAATACTTTGAAATATTGAAATATTTTGTCTGTTATAATTTCAGTCAGCTAAAAGTGACAAAACTACCGGAGGAACTGGTGGGCAGGAAACAACATTAGATGAATTAACAGAAGAATCATTCGGTTTGTATTCTTCTTTATTTCATGTTTGTAGTAAATTATTTAGTGGAAAATATAAAATTATGTTCTTTCTTGTAAAATTGGGAGGTAAAAGCTCCAGAACACCAGTCTATCAACTAATTTTAATGACTGATGATTCTGCTTGTAGACAAAATTGTCCTTGAGGTTATTCTTCAATGAATAGCTTTAAACTCTTGATTTCAAGTACAAAGATTTTCACTCAAATATATACTGTGCTTTGTCTTGCTAATGAACCAAGAAATACAATAGCGAAAACAGTGATGTTAGGCTATGTTTATGATATATAATAATGATGTTTGTAGTAAATCATTAAACTGTTTTCAAGGATTGTTCTGTTAGACTATGTTATGATGTATAATAGTGATGTTTGTAGTAAATCATTAAACTGTTTTCTATGATAGTTCTGTTAGGCTATGTTTATGATGTACTATAGTGATGTTTGTAGTAAATCATTAAGTTATTATTTATTACAGGAAATACAATACTATCCGATCAGAATAATGTTATATATACAACTGCCTATCCTACACAAGTACAAGGGGTGAGTTTTTATAGTCTTGATTATTCATTCTTCTATTCAATTAAACTTGTGATGTATTCGTTACCTTCGAAAAAATTGAACGTGGGAATTTTGCCAGTAGAAAATAACATTCCAAAAGACAATATTCAGATGATCTTGTGCTTTGTAACTAGCTTTAAAGTTCTCATCCATTTCAACTTGACGATTACATCTTATTCCTTTACTGAAATTCATTTCCTGTTTCTAAAACAAACTGTCCTGATTAGTTCTTGTTCTTAACTTACAAGATCTTTGACGTTTTCTTATTTTCCAGTATTATAAATGTTATGTGTATCTGTTAAAATATTTCATTTTTTGTCTTTCCAGATTCCACAGCAATTGAACTTTGCCTAGTCACTGCCTTCATTATAAACATCATCATCATCATCATCATTATTATTATTATTGTTACTATCATTATCATCATTACTGGCATCATCATCAGGGGCTTTATTCTTAAAAAATCAACTAATGATGATTTTAGTGTTCCAGTCATCTGATTGGTCATCTCTAAAATTGATTTTAAATTTAGTTTTACAACCAATTATCAGATTTAGCGTCAAGTTTTTTTTAGAATAAGACCCAGCTCTTCATCATCAGCGAGAGACATAAACAACTTTTGGCTTCATTAGCTGATAGAACTAGATGCTTGTTAATCACATCCAACTAGCCAGTCACTGCTTCCCACTCTAATGCTAGCTACTTAATGAATTACTGTGTGTAATCTCCAATACCATATATTTGTGAATATAGTGCGTATTTTTAAACCCTGAAATGGTTCAGCGAACTAGTTGTGTGAATTATAGACAGTGATATATTGTTAAGATATTAGAGATCATTTACTACTACCAATGTTTCGCCAATTTGTTACTTTGGATTTCAAGTTTTGTTTTGCTGTTCGGATGGTTAGTACATGGTTTATTTATGTTATTGGATGGTGAAGATGTGTATTGAAATGGAGAAGAAAAGACTTCTGTTATAGATTTAAAGTGCTTTAAAGTTTGAAATGGTGCAGTATTTTTAAAGGACTTGTATAAAACTGATTATATTACTGTGTATTGTGTGCTTTAAATATATTATTTCTCATCGGGGAACTTATTCTTGAAAACTTGACTAAAGATGATTTTAGTATTGCTATCATCTGATTGGTCAATGACTAAAATCAATTTTAAATCTTTTTATATTATGCAATCAGATTATTTCTTAAAAGATATAATCCAGATTTTAAGAAATAATCTGATTGGATAATAATAAGTTTTCGAGAATACGTCCCTAAGACAAGATTTTATCACTAAAAGTGACCATTGGTAGAATGTGATTGTTCTGTAGTAAAAAGTAAAAACTACAACATGTTCTGTTTACAGATGATTGTTTTAAATAACTGAATATATAGAGTAAAATTATGAGTTAATAAAACACCATTTGATAAAATATAATGAGCTTGGTGTTTGTTGCCCTATAAATCTTGCTCTATCCAGTTTCTTAAATGTAATATATGGATGTTTAATCTACCTTAACTTGGCACTATCACCTCCAGGCAACAGGTACTGCCAGATTTGTATGACTGGGGTGTTTGAGAATCCCTCTACTATTCTTTAGTTTGGTTCTAAAAAAATACATGGTTCTTTTTATATTGTTTGTTTATGGATAAAATGCTTGGAAACATATTTAACAATTTCACCAGCTTTATTTTCAATATAGCCAATTCAGTTAGAGTCTGAAGACTGGCCACTTTAATGTTGGTCAAATTGACCTTTTGACCTAACCTGATAAACACCGTATCACAAAATGCCAGGGCTGGAGAGGGTAGAAATATGACGGGTTAAAGCAGACATCATTGAGTTAAGTTAAAAGGTCAATTATAGTATTTGTAATTGGAATCTGATAACTTTTGTTAATTTTTTAATCATAAAATATCATGTATGTCAGAAGTGTACAGTTCTCTAAATATTTGTTTTATTGCCTTATAGAACTAGTTTGTACTTTTAAGTTTGAAAATCTGGTACCCTGTTCGTCTACAATTAAAAAACATATAGGCCGAAGTGACCCAATCCAACTAGTTTTTGTAACTAATTATCAGCTGGTAAAATAAAATATTTAGATGACTGTATCACTTCAAGTGAGAAGAAATATCTATTCTAGCTTTAATTTTGTAAAATAATGGTGTGCTATAAGATGCAATTCATTTTTAATAAAAAATACTCTACAAAGTTATACTTAGTCTGTTTTTTTTTATCAAGAGTTATATCCCCTGAATTTATACTAGTTAGATTTCAGTTGTCATGTTAACTGTCAAACGACCAACCGTGAAAGTTCCGCTAGCAATGATGTGACAGAAAGTAATGGAAATTAGATAAGACCTTGCTGAAATGCCAATTGTCTGTCAAAAGAGAAGGCTGGTATCAATTGATAAGAGTTTCCAGCGGCTAAACTAAATGAGTGGGGGGCCGGAAATTTTTTTCCAGAAGTGAGGGGTGGTCGTGGGCCAGTCCTGTCGTTGAGCCGCCGAGAGTTTCTCGGGCTTGTTTGGGGGAAACCCATAGGAAATATAGTATGTTTCCAGTTTCCCGAGGTCAGTATTGGCCCACAACATATCAAACTATCGTGTCTAACTAGCTAGCAGATTGGTTGGTACAATGGCAGTTTTCTGTTGTCAGAATGAGACTAGAGTATACCAAACTATCGTGTCTAACTAGCTAGTAGATTGTTTGGTATAATGAAAGTTTTCTGTAGTCAGAATGAGACTAGAACATATCAAACTATAGTGTCTAACTAGCTAGTAGATTGTTTGATACAATGACAGTTTTCTGTGGTCAGATTGAGAATAGAGCATACTAAACTAGCGTGTCTAACTAGCTAGCAGTTGTCACACAAAGAGTCTTGGTCGACGATTTTTGTCGCCGATTCGAATCTTGAATGAAATTGCACATGTGCCCGCGCTTCCATGACATGATAATCGCGTTGACTACCAGTTAGACATTTTATCGTCGATTGTTTTATTGTCTTCAAGACAGAGTTTCATCCCCCAATCAGATGATCGCCATAGTGGAAAAACGACCGGCTGGAGGTTTTTGCATCCTCGTGTGCTCACAGACGTGAAACTCATGACAAGACAATAGTCGGTGACAAAAATCGCCGACCAAGACGCTTCGTGTGCTCGATCCACAACAAAACGTACTCCACTAAATAGAACTAAAGACAATAACAGTCAACAACAAATATTTATTAAAACAAAGAAACAACAAGACGAAGGGTGTATTTGATTAGGCACGAGGTTTGCTGGATGGAGTGACAGTAGATACTTTAAACAGGCGACGGACGAAGAAAACGGTTAAAGACGAGGTGAAAATGATAACCAAACACTGTATAATGGACCATGTCTGTATATATTCATTATTAGTTTTAATTAAATACCAGTCCTTCATTACACTAAATCTAGATTGAGATTGATATCGTCTCATTTCAGAGATCGACGTTTGAACCCCGGTTAATAATACCTGAAAATAGAACGAGTATACACATGATAATTCTCGAGCATTTGAAAAAAACATTGATAACACTTGCATGACATCGACTTCGAGTAGGCTGTGGTATTGCTTTTAAAATTCGTCATTGTTATCTACATGACAAGCTTTGATTGGATGCATTAACGTTATCAGAACGGGACTGTAGTTGAAAACTTGTAAGATTACAGTGGAGACGAAAAGAATGGTAATTAGACTGATTTCCTGTTTGACTTCTATCATTGTAAAAATTAAAAAGAAAACTTAATTATTAATAATATCGAGACATGAAAAATGAAAGATATTTCTATCACAGAGATACACAAAAGAAACTTCAGACTGTTACCGTATAATTTTCAGCTAGAGCGTGCACATCACTAATTTCTATAACATATTTACTCCATTCTTCAGGTATAAACGTTACTAGGTAAAAATAGACTAATTTACTCGTGAAATGACTAAAACTATTGTCTAAACATATAGAATACGTTCCTGAAATATAAATAAATATGTATAGTAATGAATAACTACACAATGAATAATATATATTATTGATACATAAATTAACATAAATTAACATAAATTAAAATAATTCTATAAAACAAGAAACCAAATAATTAAGGATAATAATGAAGTCGGAGAGAGAATTACGTAATATGTAAATTGGTTATATTTTCTATATATCTATTAAAATGATAGTATTTAGAAAATGTTCCGAATTTTATAAGAGGTAGCCACCTGATTTATATTTAAGTCTAACCTACCTGCTGTATTTATATCATGTTCTATTCCACCACTACTTTTATACATATGAGAATCAATCAGGTTAAAATGAGGATCTTTAAAATAAAAATCGATATTTAAATCACCACCTTGTAAAACCTGGAAAATACAAAATAAAACATTTGATCATGATAATCAGCACCGTCCACAATAACTTTAAAAACATAATTTAACAGAAAAACAACGAATCTTAATTATTATTATGTACAGTCTAACTTGCATTAACCAAGCAGTCGGGAGAATGTCTAAGTAAGAAAATGATTGGTAAAGGTTTTATAGAAGATACACTCTTATTGAAGTACTGGCCTAGGTCATGGCCTAGGTCACAAGTAGAGACTGTGGATTTCAGCAATAGAATACATCAATTTGATACAAAATTACCTACTTCTGGAGAGATTTACTAGATAAACAAATAATTCAGAAATACAAAGCGATTGTTGCCTGGTATATTATATAGAAATTATCAGTCATTTTATTAAATATCAGCAGATTTATTTCTATATATATTGATGAATATAATTGAGAGAATATTGTGTTTATCTATAAATACTGTGAACATAACGGTTGTTTATCTTATAATATGTAACAGACGAACTAACACCAGCTGGTAGAGAAATATTTTATACATCTTGGTTATTATTCTGAATATTATATTTGTATATTGTATGTTTTCTATGATTTCAAGATATTAATTGTATTGTTAAAATATATTAATTGATGAGGTCTAACTAGACCGAGAGTAGAGTATAATAAGGTAAAACTAGAATATATAATTAATGTGTGGCGCCATGAATATTGGAATGAAATGGAATGCAGAATGAAATGGAAACGAATAAAATGGAAACGAATGAAATGGAATGGAAACGAATGAAATAAAATGGAAACGAATGAAATGGACACGGAGGAAATGGAGAATGAAATTAAACGAATGAAATTAAACGAATGAAATGGAAACAAATGAAATGAAATGAAATGGAAACGCATGAAATGGAAACGAATGAAATGGAATGTAATGGAAACGCATGAAATGAAATGGAAACGAATGAAATGGAAACGAATGAAATGAAATGAAATGGAAAAGAATGAAAGGGAAACGAATGAATAAATTAATAAATGAATGAATGAATAATTGTAATAAATAAATAATAAATAATATAGAATTATATATAGTGACATTTTAATATTCTAATTACTGTATAACAAACAGATCGTACACGGTGAAATTAGTCTGAAACATCCAGCCTCTGAATAATATAGTGTGCTACACGCATGTTCACCAACCAAAGTCACTCAATAATATTGTTCATAGTTCACCGTCGAAATTTGAGCCTTCAAATCTATGTGAATCCAAAATTATCTGCATTCGAAAGTCTTTTCTTGAAACCCTGCGATGTTAAAGAACAGCTAAGTTTTTATCATAGAATTTGCAGTCATTTAGCCCGCGATTAGATGTACTTCATATCACAATGATTTTGTTGTCGTTTCTTTTTAAAGCATGTACAAACTGTTCGAGAAGATGTACAATATTCAGGCAGGGGAGAAACCACTGAAGATAGAAATGGAAAATAAAATTCCTAGTTTGAAGTATTTTTGAAGGAATTATGCAATTTTCGAACAGTTCTAATATTTCTGCAGACTGTTTATCATATTATATTCTTGTCTGTAAATTAACCCCCGAAAATTCCGATCACTGCCTTCTAATTGTAAATAACTCTGTCCCATTTCAATTTTCAAACAATCTCAACCTAAATACTTCCAATATTTTCTTCAATCTGTCA